TCTTTCCCTCCCCCTTCCCAGAATTCTTTGGTTCCCACAAGGTACAAGAAGAGTTCAAAGGTATTCAAATATCAGAACATTACTTTGTATCCTGTACATACGGGTTGGAAAAGTCATGATGCATTTTTGCATAGAAAAACAGAAAAAAATACATCAAGACTTTTCTGATGACCCAATAAATAAAAATTTATTTCTCAAGTATTAAAAGAAAATAAATTAAAAATAATTCAAAAATATTCAAGAGGAAGGCACTCTGGAGAAGCCCTGAAAAGTCACCACAATGCAGAAGGAACATACTTACCCACAGCAGGGAGCAACACACACACTTACTGGGGGAACTAAGAAGAGAAGTTATGACACCCTCGGCCCCAAGCAGAGCTCCCCATCCAGAGCAGAGAGACTACCACCCAACTACAACACCACATCCAGACCCAGAGTCCTTCTACATACAAAACCTGCAGGCACTGCAGGAAAGCAAAGCACATGCCAAAAGAGTTGTCTCTGCTCTCCACCAGCCTCTTTCAAAGAAATAAGAGAGAAGAGCAAAGGGAAGAGCTATGTCAGATGCCATTCTTGAGGAAAGCAGCTGTAGTTCTAGCAACCACAGCTGAGCCAATCTGTTGAAAAGTAAGCAAGACGTGTGTCTAGGATTTCTGAATGAATACAGATAGTAAAAATAATCCACGATGTGAATTTGACGGAGTTTTCACACATTACACTCATTGAAAAGGTACTGACTAGAAAATATATTAGTGGATAGACAAAGACAGGTACATACTTGGAATTTATTTTTCAGAGTAGAAATCACTAAAAACATGAACATTTGTTTTTTTGTTTTGTTTTGTTTTTGTGGGGTTTTTTTTTAGAGAGATTTCTCATATAAGGCATATGTGTTCATTGGAGACACAGAGAGAGTCAGAGAGAGAAAGTGAGAAATCACCACCCAGTGGGAATGGCCACACTGCAGTTCCTTCTCCTCCATTCACCTCTTGGAATTTTGGCATGCATGCACACATGCCTGGCATATTTCAAGTCACCAGACCCAGGACTTGAACCATGGTCAGTCATGTGGGAGTTCAGCACCTTAACCACTATACCACCTTCTGACCCTGAAAATGTAGTTTTGAAAATAGTGTCAGCTTCATGTTCTCATGTGTCTAAATAATAATCAAATATCTTATGGTAGTTTGTAGCATAAAGATCCCAGATGCATAAATATTCATCAATTTTTGCAAGAGCATGTCAATAAGAAAACATGATGCATGGTTAGAGACGAACATCCTCAGAGAGATTAGGAAACATGGAACTGATTCCAATATCCTGTCTTAGTGGGCCAATGTGGTCTCACACAAGTCAACCCTTTGAACAAGGGGGAGTGGTTTCTCTTCTGAAAATGAGTCTGAGGCTCAAGTAACTGAAGAGGTGGAGACATTATGGGAATCAACCAGAGCCCCTAGGGCTGGCAGATACCTGCCTGAGGCTGCCATGGACCCCTGGCTCCTTTGTTATGTTATCCTCTGTTTTCTGGGAGCAGGTAAGTCCCAGAGCACATGGACACCCCTTGCCTTGGAGGCAGCAGTTCAGTCTTCTCCTGGAGGCAGCAGCATCAGAGGCCCCCACCTAAGCTCCGTCTCTAGCTCTGCGTCCTTCTCTTACAGGCCCCATGGAAGCCCAAGTGACACAGACCCCAAGATACCTCATCACAAAGACTGGAAAAACATTGACAATGACTTGTTCTCAGAATATGGACCATGAATCTATGTACTGGTATCGACAAGACCCAGGACTGGGTCTGAAGTTGATCTACTATTCAATTAATGTTGAAATTATTGACAAAGGAGATATCCCTGATGGCTATACTGTCTCTCGAAAAGAGAAGAAGAATTTCCCCCTGTCTTTGAAGTCACCCAGCACCAACCAGACCTCCCTGTACCTCTGTGCCAGCAGTGTATCCACAGTGCTGCACAGCCAGCTGCTCTCTGCACAAAAAGGAATAGCCCAGGAACAACCAGACTCCTTCTCAGAAGGCCCTCCTGACCAAGAGGAAAAGCTTCCTGACCACCAGTGTCCTCCCTGGACTGTCCAGTTTCAGAACTCTGAGTGACGCAGTATCACTCAATGGCTAACACCCGTGGGCCAGCCTCCTCTCACCTGCTGTGTATACCAGGGAACTCTTCAGCATTCAGGAAAGACATGTTGACTGCATCAGGTCTAGTGCCAGGGCTAACACTCTGCAATCTTTTCTCCCTATGGAGCTTAGATCTTCAAATTCAAGTAAGCTGTTGCCCAAACTTAATGGTTCATTTTAATCCAATCTCAACAAAATTTGATCTTGTATTCTGTGTCCTCTTCCAAGGTGTTTTGTCACTTGGAGGGAACACCATGTTCTGAGTTGTTTACTAAACCCAATATCTCCCTTTTCCTCATCTCATCAAATGGTTCTACCATTCACTCAATGCCCAAGCCAGAGGTGCAGGAGTGGCCTTCACCATCTCTCTGACACTCTCTTGCCATACCCAACCCATCACCTCTTACTGCATGTTTATAAATATTAAATTCTTCACAGTTTTTCCCAATCTTTCTAACTTCACAGATAACACAATTGTCCAGAAAACATCACCTCTCACCTGGATTCTTCCAACCATCTTCCAAGTAGTCAGTTATCCCATCTGCCAGCATGCTACCTGCCTCCAGCCACAAACCACTCCCTTAGCTTAAAACATTTCCTTGACTAGAAGTAGACATGAGATACGTTCTTAGTTGAACAAATGTAGAAATGAGTGAATGGGAATTTCTAAGAGTAAAATATAGAAGTATAGAACAATACATATTATAGAATTAAGTTAAGGTAGAAGAAAAGAGGCATATAGGTATTTGGACTAACTAAGGAAGGTTAAAGGAGAGTGCAAAGGTTACCTAGCAGAATAGGTGGGCAGAATGGTAGTGTGGACCTGGAGAACCAATGAAAGAGAAAGTGGGGAGAGGTATTAGTCATTTCTCTTTATCATAAACCTCAATAACAGGACAGTTACCATTTCTACATTTGTTCAACTAAGAATGTATCTCATGTCTACTTCTTCTATTCAAGGAAATGTTTTAAGCCAAGGGAGTGGTTTGTGGCTGGAGGCAGGTAGCATGCTGGCAGATGGGATAACTGACTACTTGGAAGATGGTTGGAAGAATCCAGGTGAGAGGTGATGACCTCTCTTCTATGGTTTCAATAAGACTTCCTTAGCCCAGGCCCCTTAACAGAATTGACCTGATACCAATGCAGCCTCCCTCCTACCACCTACACTGTGGGCTTCAGGGACTTTCCCCAGGCCTCAGAGTCCTTCCTTTTGTTTACCTCTGTGTTAGGAACAGTTTTAATCTTAGTCTAATATCTTTCACGTAAGCATGCCAGACTGCATTGAGCATTTACAGATTTCTTCAACAATGGAAGCTTTCAGACGGTACATGTCTTATAAAAAAATTAAGAAGTGAACCCATTCTAATAGAGATAAGAATGATTTATTGGTTTGAAATCCTTCGTATAAGCAAACAGTCCAGTGAAACTGTTCAAAGAGTTTTTGTGTCCAGTAGTTGTGTCAGTATGTTTTCTGTATGGTAAGGCTAAGTCTGTTGGATTAGGTATTAGTTAGGTGCAAACAGAAATGTCAAAGCCCAGGAATATAATCTGAATCATGATGCCTATTTTATATCATTGCAAAAAAAATGTAGAAACTATTTTATGACTTGTATTACATGTAGCCAAATTTTCTTTCTTTATTTTTTTAAGTTTTTTGCCATAGGGTGGCATGTACTCACCAGAGAGGAGAGAGACAGAGAGACAGTGAGAGGGAAAGTCAGAAATCAACCCCTGGGAGGATGGACACACTACAATTCTTTCTCCTCCATTCTCCTTCTGGGATTTTGGGCATACATGCACATATGCCCAGTATGAGTTTTAAGCTGCTGGGTCCAGGACTCAAACTGTGGTTGGCCATGTGGGAGTCCAGCACCATAACCACTACACCACCTGTTGGCTCCCATGTAGCCAAACTTTAAAAAAATGTATATACCATTATGAAATTCTAATAGCTGTAAGGATAACTATTGGAAAAATATAAGCATCACAGGGACATCCATATCTGACCCTTTTGTTTTGATCAGTGTTTCTCAATGTGCACTAACATCAGCTGGCGAGATTTGTTTATGGTGGTAAAAATACTTAATATGAGATCCACCCTTTTAACAAAATTTTAAGTGCACAATACAGTGTTACTGATTACAGGCACAATGATGTACAGCAGAGCTCTCCATCTTAATCATCTTGGGTAGCTGAAACTATCAGATTTCCATTGCCTCCCCTCTCTCCCTGGTACTTCTACACTGCTTCTGTGAGTTCAGTATTACATTTTGTGAAATAAACTGGTCACAGACAAATATAATGTGGAAAACATTTTTATAACAAAAATTATTTAAAATTTCTGGTATAGAGTAGTAATATAAATGAGACCATTTTAATTGGGTCTCATTATTGTTTTCAAATTCTTTGCAGACAACGCACACTCTTTTGATTGCACTTAAGGCTGCCAGTGACTGGAATCCCTGCTGGTACCTCACTGCCTCCACCCTCACCCCATCAGATGAACCTCCATATGTGGGAATTTGCACCATGGCTATCACTACCATCCATGCAGTGACATGGAAAAGGAAAATGTTTTTAAAAAGTAATCAGCCTGTCGCCCATTGGAAAAAATCACATTTCTATTAATATCTACAATAAGCAACAGAACAGAAATATCTGAAACTAGATATTGTTGTTACATCAAATGTTGTAGTTAAGGACTGACACAATGATACTCCATACACACACAGCAGTACGCCCATGATACCCCTTGACCTCCAGCACCTCTGGACTCTCTAGAGTCTAGACTATAGCTGAGGGAGGGATTATGAGTGTGGGTGGGTACTGAAACCTCACAATCAACATACAGCCTGAGGCTGGGAGAAAGGTCATTCTTTCCTCAAAACAGCCATGGGAATCTGGCTTCTCTGTGGTGTGACCTTCTGTTTCCTAGGAGTAGGTGGGTTCAGGGAATTGGTGGCAAACTCTGTCCTATTATTTCTAAAACTAGGATACAAAATTCTCCTTCTCGGGCTTTTTCCTGGTCTCCTTTTTTCATCTCCTCCATTCTTCTTTCACAGTCCTCATGGATGCAGAAGTATCTCAAACCCCAAGACACCTGATCACAACGGTGGGAAAGAAGGTTTTTCTGGAGTGTTTACAGCATATGAACCATGAAAGAATGTTCTGGTATCGACAAGACCCAGGTCTGGGACTACAGCTGATCTATTTCTCATATGACAAAGACATGAATGAGAAAGGAGATGTCCCCGAGGGATATGATGTTTCCAGGAAGAAGAGAGAATGTTTCTCCCTGATCCTGGAGTCTGCTAGCACCAACCAGACCTCTCTGTACCTCTGTGCCAGCAGTTTATCCACAGCATTGCTCAGCCACATCCTCTCTGCACAAGAAGAGCAGATACGAAAGGGGAGGGGTCCTGCCTCTGAGCTGCTGCTGGCTCCTAAGGCACATTTGTGCCAATTAGAGGAAGGTGGCCACAAAAAGGAACCAACCCCACACCACACATCTTGATGAGCAAAGCATGAACAATTTTTTAATTCATTTTTTATTTGTTTTATATTTCTTCAGTGTATAACATGGTTTTCCCAGCATAAATACAATGCTTACTAGTTGAGTCAAAGACATTACCATACACATTATCATCAACAGTTAATTTTTCATTTTTGTGTCTATTAAATGTTTTTTTTCCTGATCAACTCCCTCCCACCTCTTGCTACCCACTCTTTATTATCCTTGTTATACTGTATCTAGTACCTACAGTTGGCCTCCCTGCTATTATACCTTTCAGTCTTTCAGTTTCTGCTATAGAGTGCAAACATTTAGTATATACTAAGCAGGGATATACAATGCCTGTCTTTCATAATCTGGCTTGCTTCGCTTAGCATTAATTCTTTCATATTTTTTAAAGTAGGGAAAAGGAACTTTTAATAAGAAAGGGAGGATTTTTAATAGAAAAGAAGTACACCTCCACACTTAAAAAGCATGCAAGTGGGCAGCTGCCACAGAAGAACAATAGCACTGGGTATGGGGTTAGGTGTTACATTTATTCCAAGAGTTGATAATGAATATTTAGCAGGGGAAGCTCTGTCATAGTATTTCGCTTCTTTGTTTGAATTCACAGGCTTTCTCCTGATCTTGTGTATCTTTTTCACAGGTGAGGAACTTCACACATGCTCAATGTGAACTTAGAAGTTACGAGCATATCAAATGTTGTGGTCTCATTGTTTTTTATGGCTGAGTAGTATTCCATAGAGTACATGTGCCATATTTTTTCAACCCACTCATCTGTTCTTGGGCATTTAGATTGATTCTATGCTCTAACAATTGTAAACAATGCTGCAGTAAATACAGATGTTCAAGTGTTTTTCCGACTGAGTGTTTTCTTATTCTTCGAGTAAATACCTAAGAGTGGAATTACTGGGTCATATGGTAGTTTAATTTGTAAGTTTCTGAGGAAACTCCATATCATTCTCCACAGTGGCTGTACTGATTCACATTCCCACCAACCTTATAGAAGAGTTCCCTTTCACCACACAGCCTCACCAGAACTTATCATTCTTTATTTTTTCAATCGTAGTCATTCTGACTGGGGTTAGGTGGTATCTCATTGTGGTTTTGATTTGCATCTCTCTTACGATAAAGCATGTTGAGCATTCATATGCTTTTTGACTGTTCATATGTCTTCCTTAGAGAGTTGTCTGTTCAGCTCATTTGTCCATTTTTAATTGAGTTGATCTTTTTTGGGGGGGGTAAGTTGCTTTAATTCTCTGTATATTCTGATTATCAGTCCCTTATATGAGGCATAGTTTGCAAATACATTCTCCCATTGCATGGGTTGTCTCCTCACTCTAATTATTATTTATTTTGTGTTGTGCCAAAGCTATTTAGCATAATGCAATCATGAGCAATTTTTTTTACCCTTTTACAAGTCAGGAAACATTCTGAAGAACCTGCTCAAACTTATATGTTGCCC